TTAGGCTACAAACTCTAACAAACATCCATCTAAACTTTTACGTTTTTAATATCAGTAAGATTTTATTATTTCACTCTACTTGTGCCAAAAACTACATGTGGCTTCAAACTAACCAGCATAAAATGGACTAGCCAGCACAGGTTGAACGAAATCAGGGTGCCCAATGCCCTTGTAGCGTGCAACCCTGAGGGTATCGAGGAAGACCGAAGAATCAATTGGTAGATGATGTAAATTGTGACGTAAAAATTGTTTGCATAACTGGGGATTTATAACTATGAATAGACGGAGGTAGAATTTCTCGACCATGCCAAGGCCTACAATGCCGTAGTGCTAAAAAGGTAGTCTAGTTTTAACTTACCCAGAACCACCAGTTGTCTTTCTTTTCTGCGCTATAAGGCTGAAAATTAACGTTATTATTGGAATTAGCTACTAGCTGTTGCTTGCGACTTCGCCCGCGTGAAATTAAAATACATAGCCTATGTTACAACCACATAAATTAACGTTTTAACGGTGAAAGATTTTATTTAAATTGGCCCAGTAGTTTTTGAGTCATTTCAATAGACAAATACAAAAATACATTTTTTTCCTTTTATAACATTAGTATAGATGTTGAAACATCCTAAAATTCAAATGAGGTTAAAATGAGAATGTTAATCAACTTGGTGTGGTTACTGTCTTCTAAATTGTGTCCTGTCTCGTACTTACTATAGTCTGCGTTCTATCATTGCATTCCTTATACATTTGTTGTTCCAAGTCTTGTATCGGCATTTTACTGCCGTGGCTGTGCTTGAACCGCTCCGTACTGCTTGAGTCACAGGATCTCTAGAAAACAAGGGAAAATGGACCACTGAGAGAAGACACGCACTTGAACTATGGCATAACTGTTGTGCGACTGTCGATTGTTTCGCTGCCAATTCAACTGTTTAGTTGCATAACTAAAAATCTAGTAGTGTGCGCACCTCCTGAAGCTTATCGGAATGAAAGCGAGACAAAACGGTTGTGCGATAGTTTAGTTTCAAGTGTGGACACAATAAGGTGTTACAATGTTTTTTCATCTTTACTTTTTCTTAACCTCTTTAACTCCAACAATTATTTCCATTATAAAGTACTAGCTATACCCCGCGACGTTTCCCCTACATTAAAAACATACAAAAAACAAAAATGCTTTTTATCTCTCGAAAAACTGACATTATTCAGGGATTTGTATCCCATGTGTTAATCCAGACTTTGTTTTATATCTTTCCCGTTCAAAAGATATGTTAAATCGTTGCAGAATTATCGAATCAACATGAAAAAACAAAATTAATGTATCTCACGGGAATTGTAACTATTCCTGTGATCAAAAGTAGCCAATATGTTCTTGCAGACTACCCTCTACAACTATGATAAATTTCACTGAGATCCGTTGAGGCGTTTAGGCTATAAACGTTAACAAACATATTGTTAGTTACTAGACTCACCAGGTCAGTTTTAGGAAGTGGTCCAGAATACGTCTTACGTTTTTTGTTTTCTAGCTTTTCAATCTTGATTAGATTGACTTTTTCTGAATCACTGCAAATGTTTACGTTATTATTAATGTAAAAATCATATTATATACTAGCTGTTTCCCGCGAATTCATCCACGCAATATTAAAAAAAACCTATAATATGCCCGTCTAGTCAGTGAAAGTCGGGTCTAAATCGGCCGTCTTTTCAGAGATTACCCAGAGCTAACGCGGCTTGCTGACAGACAGGCAAAAAAAAATTAAATGCGATTTTATTTATCAGCAACGCAATTACATCATCTTCCCGAAGTCTGGAATTTTTCTTATGATATAACAAACACTCCAATTTTATTATATGTATACTCGTAGATATAGATAAAATTAACTATGCAGAATAATTAGATTGATTTTTGAGGTTATAACATCCATTGTCTTGTAATTATAGTTTAAAAAAAAAATAATTCTTACTTTTTCTCTCTTTGCATGATGTCTTTGAAAATTTTTAACATAGGCGATTGCGTTTCTTTGTCAGACAGTATGTTGTTGTTACTGAAACAAATCACAAACGTTTAATCTTACTAATATTATAAATGCGAAAGTTTAGATGGATGGATGGATGGATGTTTGTTAGCGTTTGTAGCCTATACGACTGAACGGATCTCCATGAAATTTGGCACAGGTTTAGAGCATAGTCTGAAAGAACACATAGGCTAATTTTTCTCCCGGGAATAGTTACGGTTCCCGTGGGATTCATTAATTTAGTTATTTAATGTTTACTCGATCATTCTGCAACGGTTCAACATATTTTATTGAAATTTGGCACAAATATAAAACAAAGTCTGGAATAGACATGGGATAAGCTTCATCCCCGAGAAATGTCCGGTTCCCGAGGAATACGTAGCTTTTTTTAATTCATATAGTTCGTATGTTTTCTAATACCACGCGGACGAAGTCGCGGGCAACAGCTCGTACAATTATACACTAGCTGTTGCCCGCGATTCCGTCCGGATTAAAAGAAATAAAAGCGCGTGGTCTATGCTCTTCCAGACTACCCTCTATATGCATGCCAAACATCGATATCCTTTCAGCAGTCTAGGCTTGAAACACTAACAAACATCCATCCATCAATACTTTCGCATTTATAATATTAGTAAGATTAAATTTTCGATTATTGTGTTTGTAATAAGATAGGGAAAACTTTGACCTGACCACTGGTTGCTTGAGTCATCGGATTCCGCAGCCGGTGGTGCTCTATTTTTTATATAATGTATTTTATTTCATTTTTTTATATATATAAATCATGTAAAATATATTATATGTAAAAATAAGTAATTAAAGATATAGGGAAAACTTTAAAATGTAATAAAGTAAATAGATATTTGAATATCATTTGACTCTTAACATTTTTTGTTATATGTATACATAAAAGTTTCTTAATACTGGTAAATACTAAGGCTATGTCCCACCACTAGTTGATAGAAGCTCAGATATCTTAGAAATGACGTCACTGTCAGATAAGGTAACAAAATCAGACATTTCCATTACATATTTTACACGTTGGATTGTTATCAGACAATTTTACGGTGGGACAGGCCCTTAATATGCTTATTGCTAAATCTACGTACACTTTTGGATGTTTTAGCAGTCTAACTAGGGTAACAGAAAATTTAGTTGTCCGTTGCTTTTCGTGGATGAACTTTCAATAATGACGTTATTTTTTACAAACTGACTACACACATTTTTTTACTATTTACAGATGAAACGCTACAATATATTTGAAATAAGCTCACCTTTTTTTACTCATTCCCATATTCTTAAAAAGTCAGTTGACGGTGACATGATCATGTTTGTGTTTTATTTTTTATTCTTCTAACTTATAAGAGTTTTACCACCAAAAAGGTTCTATATGTTCTTTATAAAAGAAGGAAACAACAATTATACTAAACTAGCTTTTGCCCGCAACTCCGTCAGCGTGAAATTAAAAAAAATATATAAAACAGCCTATGTTACTCACTGACAACGTAGCTTTTTAATGGTGAAACATTGAGTTATTTCATCAGAATCAAAAACAAACTTTTCCTCTTTATAATATTAGTATAGATAACTACGCGGCCTAATTACTAAAGACTAATTAAGTTGTTAATTATAAAGAGATATTCAAATTATTTTCCATATCATAGTTTATGTATTAGTAAAAGTATTAGTTTATGGGTGCAGTTTCCGCCAATACTGCTTTGGCAGTTCGGAGAAATTATATATTTTTGTAACAAATTTAAGCTACTTATAAGTAAACAATTCCCATGCGACTTCATCCACAGGAAATTATAAAAATTTCAATTTATTGTTTACATTTGTCAAATTATCAATTGCAAATGTCAAAATGACATGACATGACGTCAAACCATGGCGATGTTGCTTTCTTGATGTTGGCCATAACATACGGTCTCTTTCCCACATTGGGGTTTTTATCCAAAATGTTTTCCCCTAAGTTTAATGGCGTTAAAATATATAGACTTAAGCGTGACGTGAGTGTGGGTCTTTTTATTAAAAAAAGAATTATTCAAAAATATGCTGTAATTGGTGACATCTTAGACAACAAAGAAGTGTGTGTTTACGCTTTATTATAATAGTATAGATTAAAAAAAAAACAACAATTCTCCTGCAAACAGGAGACAGCTGTGAAATATCAAAATATTATTACCGTCGTGATCGTGACATAGATGTAAATAATAGGACATTGTTTCTGACAGAATTACTTCGTTCCGATTTTAACGCGCCTTTTCATCTTAATGAAATTTAGTTTTCTTCCCCATTTGCTATAAAACCGATTCAGTATAAAAACATTCTAACGGAATCCAACATCGCATGTTCTACGTCAATATTACAACCTTGTAACTCTTAAAATAACCAATAAAACTAAATAAGAAAAAAAATACAGGAAAGTATCACTCAAGGAAATTGCGTGTATTCCAGCACATTACGTGGGTGGATAGCAATAAAATGATATTTGATGCGTTACTCTTACCCGGGAATAATTGCCGGGAACTCCCGACGGGAATGCGAAGGAAACGATGGGTATCGTTAAGCGATCGCTCATAAACGTATTTAATACTTTACTAACTGACTTTGTTTAACTGTGGTTAAGACGTTCATATTTTTGTTTTCTTGCAGTGTTTTGTTTTAAAGAAATTTCTAGAAAATGCGGTTTTCATTTGTTTTCTGTAAATTAATTAGTGAAAAGATGTACTTGTTTTTTGTCTAAGAAAACATGATTAATTTCGATGCGATTTTTTAAAATTTTTTACTAAAAAACTGAACGTAAATCTATCCTGACACAATTGTTGCAAAAGAAATATAGAGTGATCAAGAAACAATAAGAGAATAGTGTGACTTTTCACTGATCTATATAAATGGACAGGCTTTACTCTATTTTGTGCCTATTTGTTTTTCTCAATCTTGATGCTGTTGGTGTTAAGGTATTTAAGTCGATCGAAGCAATACCTGTCAATTCCAATCAATAACCTACCCATTTATACAAATCAGTGAACATTGCAGATTAAAAAAAATTAAATCTAACTTCAAACCGTCAATTCTTTATTTATTTATCCAAATGTATTTCGAACCCCCCAAAGAATTAGTAAAATCCACACCCATACGTATTCCGAGTCGTCAATATCGTGCTAGGGTAGACTCACCTGGATGGAGAATAACCCCCCGGGACGGTCTGTCCTCATAAACTTGTTTACATGTGTCGTACGTATATCACTCGTCTAACCCCAGCTAATAGAATAAACCCCTTTTTTATCACTCCAGTTTTACTGACTCTTGGTACCGTAATTTTGTATAAAAAGTATATAAAAACCTTTAAGGTCAAACAGAAGTTTTTTGTTTAAGAAAATTAGAATTGCTAAATTTATGAAGAGTTGAAAAATATCTTGTAATACTTCCTGGTTACAGTTTTATTAAGAGCTGTTGTGCGATTGTCGATTGTTTCTCAGCTAATTGAACTGTTTAGTTTCACAACTAAAAATCAAGTAGTATGCCATAAGATCATAGGAATCAAAGCTAGACTAAACAGTTGTGCGATAGTTTAGTCAATGGTGTATGCGCTCTAAAAATAGCTATACTTTGTTTGTGTGCAAGATATTATAGGTGGTAGCCATAAACTGTGTTGGAATCGAATCTTGTGCCAACCCTTAGTGCAGTGCGCAGAGAGATCATGCGACGTTTGTAATTTATGACCGTCTGTCACTCACGTATTAGCTCCTAGGGTTGTCACTGATGGATGCATTAAAAAAAATTAAGAACAAACTTTTATTATTACTATTTTAATTAAGGGAAGAATATTACAAATATAATGGAAAGCTAAAACAGAGAGTTAGAGTTGTCAACCTTATCGTAAAACTGAAAAAAATAACCTCAACTATTAGATAAAAATTTAAGAACCTTTTGTAGTAAAAAAACACAGTTAAAAAAGTTTTCTCTGATACACTCATTAACATCCAATATCAGTTTAAAAATAAATGATTTGTTTTAAAAAACTAACTCTCGCCAGCGACTATCCTACTGAATTAAGTAAACAAAAGTAAATACTTACTGCGTTGGCGCAGCGACCCAAAGTGGGTCTTGGCCTCCGACACGAGAGAGCGCCAGCGTCGTCATGTGTTTTTCCAGACTATCCTCTACATCTATACTAAATTTCATCGAGATCCGTTTAGCAGTTTAGACTAGGCTCTAACAAACCATGTATATTTTCGCATTTTTTAAACGTAGGGGGAAACGTGCAGCGGGTTACCCGACATGTTCATCGACGACTTTGGACATCAGCAATATTAAAAGGAATACGTGCCAGCATTTGAGAAAATAGTAAGATTGCCAATCGACAACCCTATAATAACGATGTTTACTCGGCTCACCTCGGCCGTTTAACCTTCTTCTTTATTTATCAGGGCGTCGTGTTGGTCCATTTAAATTTACATTCGGGATACGTCGCTGCTGTCGGAGACACCTCGACCATTCAGACACGCTCCTAGAATTCACAGAATCGACTGTACTACTCGTTTGGTGAAGTCTTGATGCAATTTGTATATAGAACTTATTTACTCTGTCCGATTGGAATTAAAAAAAAAACAAAAGTTGTCTATGTGTTCTTCCAGAATATCATCTACATCTATACCAAATTTCATCAAAATCCGTTCAGTAGTTTAGGCTACAAATTCTAACAAACATCAGTCTAAACTTTCGCAATTATTACATTGGTATGATGCTATATTGTGAAGCTAACGATTACAGCTTAAAGTTTGTTATGATTTTTAATCACGATCCCAGGATCCAAATATAACACCCTTTTTTAATAAAAATGTCAGTTTTAAAATTATTATCAATAAATACTAAAAAGTTTACACATAAGTAAATTGTAAAGCAATAGCTGACGCCCGTCAGTCAGCGCCGAATTAAAAAAAAAACATAATTAGTATCTTTTGTTATGGACATGTTATGCGACGAGACGATGGGGACATAAATCAGAAAATGTTAAGAATGAATGTGGATGGCTACAAAGAAAGAGGAAGACAAAAGAAAGTATGGATGGATTATGTGATATGACGACTGATAGAGATGTATGGATGAGCAGCACATACTGTGCCGACCCTCCGTAAGGGATAAGGGCAAGTTGATGATGATAATAATTAGTATCTTATGTCTTCCAGACTATGTTCTACATCTATGCCAAATTCCAACGAGATTCGTTCAGTCGTTCTGGAGATATCATCTAACATACATCCATAATTCTTAACTTTCGCATTTGTAACATTAGCAATATATGACACTAGGTGTTCCCGTGAGACTTCATCATGATGATAACCTTGCTTCCTTGATGTTGGCAGCAACTTATTGTCTCTTTCCCACATTAGGGTTTTTATCCAATTTACCCCTAATTTTAATGGCGTTAAAATGTATAGCTTATAGCGTGACACAAGTGTAGGGCTTTTTATTAAAAAAAGAATTGTTCAAAACAATGGTGTTATTGCTGACATATTAGGCAACAAAGAAGTGTGTTTACGCTTTATTATAATTGTATAGGTGAGTGTTTAATTAAATTAACTGTACAATTATCTAAAATGTAATACTATTTAGATAAATGAAAATACAAGAAAACCAGGTCTTATATTAAGGCAACATAAACTCTTATCGTGAGGCCTTTCGAATTCTCATTTAGTATAAAACTAAATAACATTGGTTAACAACGGGTTAACACCTTATCTAATAGAAACTAAAATGGATTTACCTTTGAGTTTCAATTACCGGAGCAAAGGTGGAACACCCGCGAACCGATATTGGTCCTTCTAGCCGGATCAGTATAGAATCCACCAGTTACGGACGTGTCGTAAACTGGCTGGTTTACCCTAAAGGTCGAAATGCCGAGGGGCATAATACTGTCCGTATTACCTTACAAATATGGCACAAGATACAAGCTTATACTAATGTTATAAAATGGAAAATTTTACCTTTTATGTATATATTTAAATAAATCAAAAATAACTTTGTCGATTTTAAAAATTAACTACTAATCAGTTAGTGACAGGTTATACTTCTATTAAAATTTCACGCTGGCAAAGTCTAGAGCAATCGGAGTAAGCAATAACGATATTTACAGTACAAAAGATACTATTAGTACAAAAGATTTTGTAGTAATAAATAAATTAACTATATATGTGACATTGCACTTATCCAACAAGAAATAGATAATTTCAGAATTTTTATATGTATTGAGAACAGTGTGGTAAAAACGCTTCAGCTTATGACTTACACAATCGCTAATACGTCGATGTATCGATAGGTGATGCGATAGAGACAACATGGCGTTTTTACGATTGTGGCC